GAATCGATCGTCGTGGACTCGTACACACACACAACACAGAGCACTAAAATCGAATGGTGTTTATTAGAATATCGGAGGCCATCGCGTTCCTATCCGAAATTATTTATTTGATCTGGATCCGTTCTGAGGGAGGAAACGCGCAATTTCGGTTCAACAACGAGTGATTCATCATTCGCACGATGTGTACTCGATTTTGTTTAATCGTTTTTTTTTTTTTTTTCCCCTCTTCTTCTTCTTCTTTTCTTTTCTTAGAACGTGAGTCAAACGCCTCGAGTTCTACTCTTTGATGTGCAGCATGGTGCACAGATGAAAATTAAACCTTGAGTTAGATACACAAATACGGAACTATACGGAGAAAAATATTTTTTTTCCCAAGTATATTTCCGTTCTATTAACTTCGCGAAAATACTTTTCGGCTATTCTTGCTGGCTTTGATATTTCGCGCCAATAAGATTTAATATTTTTATTCTTAATTGTTGATGACCACGTAAAAATTTTTTTATATTTTTTATTATAAAATGTTATGATAATATTTTGAATTTCTGGTTTAGTAGAGATATCAATGACAAGTAATATTCTTCCCTATAAATAACAATATTATTAACATATTGAATTAACAGTGATCGAATTAATTACTTTCTGAATTACAAAAATTTTTCTAAAATACAACTGTAGGATAAAAATATTTCCGGTTTCTAAATATCAATATTAAATATTATTGACAAAAATAAGAGCATTTTGAGAACAAGTTAGTATATGTAACGCGAAAATATGTATCTCGTACTTTTGGAGGGAAATTTAAAGGTATGAAAATGGTCTCGAAGTTTGACAAACAGATTCGATTTTATGTGTGGACAAAAGGTAAAACGTCACGCGTGATAATGATTCACGCGTGGAGAAATAGAATTTAATGAATCGAACGAGGACAAAGGCGATAGCGATGACAACGACGATGATTTTATCTATGTTAATCTAGAAGACATTGCTGGAACAATGATTTGTACGCCTTCTATGAAGGACCGTAGAATACATTATGTTACCTAATACTCGTAAGCACGCATTATCTAATAAACATTATTTACAAAACGAATCGATTCAGTGGCAAGAGAATTTTTTTCATTTTTCTCCCTGGAAATAATCATAAATCGTTTTTTTTTTTTTAATTTAACTTTACATCACATTTAAATTCGGCGTGTGAAACGATCAAATTTTACGATAAAAATTTTCCTTTATTAAAGAGTTAAATATTAATTCCGTGAGTAATTTCGTTTCGAGAGTCCGATTTTATTTAATTAACAAACTTAAAGCATCACGATTAAATCATCGTGAAATTTATAGTGTGAGATAAAATGGATAATACAATTGCAATTTTGATAAAGAAATGGCAAACTGAAAAGAAGTTCCCCCCCCCCCCTATTACAACCAAAATATTGATCTTATTTATTGAAAAATTTTTTAAATAGCGTAATTTTATATTTATATTTTTTTTCTTTGTAAAACGTAGGATGATGTCGCAACATTGGATGAACTCTTACCATCTAACCTTTTAAAAAATATTTTTCGCAAAACAAAGTTTTCTTAAGTCTAATAAAGTTAATAATATGCCTGGAAAGGAAGATCAAGTTAATAATACACCCAGAAAGGAACAAAAAGTAGTTGGTATCAATGTTTTACGAGCCAATGAACTGATCAGCAATTTCTCATCGAGGGAAGTCATCCGTCGCAAAAGTGCGGTCCAAAGAAAAATATTAGAATCTATAATGAAAAATCGATCGAACATTCAATCCTTCTTTTTCATATGTTTTAATATGTGCAATAAAAATATCGTTTCGTATAAAAATAACGATAAGATATGAAGAATTTTCCATTTCGAATCGAATATCAAAAAGCATTCGAAATCTTAATTAAACGAAGAGGCAAAAGAAACTTAGAAATAGAGAAAAAGAATTCTAGAATAACGAAAGTATCAGGAATCTTTTATTTCACAAAAAAAAAAAAATCGAAGAAAAATTCTTAAAATAAAGAATTCTAAAATATTAAAGAAAACAGTTTACTTTTTCAAACAAATCTTCGAAACCGCCGTTCGACTCGCAAAAATATAGCTTCGAAGTAAAAAAAAAAAAAAAAAGAAAAGAATGAAATGATGTATTTAAAAGAACAAATTTTAAATGGATAAAAAGCATCCACAATAATCAATAAACCGGAACAAACTGCCAGAAAAAAAGCCAATCGAACCAAAAGAAAAAAAAAAAGAAAAACTCAAAAATCAAGATCAAAATTCCTCCTCCAAAAAGAAATCATCGTTGTACATATATAAATATATCTGTCTCTCTTCCTCTCTCAAACCACTCTCTAGCCCTATCTTTCTAACCCTTGGAAAACGATCGAAAGGTAGGGAAAAAAATTTCATCGAGCCACCTCCCTCCCGAAAAGAAAAAAGGGGAGGAAAAAAAGATGACACGAAACAGCGTCCGATAGCGATACAATGGCACTCGTCAAATCGACGATAAGCGTCGACGTGTCGCCCCGTCTCATTTCGTGGACGAGAGACAGGGGCAGAGAGAGGGAGAGAGAGATAGGAGGATAGGAGGATCCGTGGAAGAGAGCGTGCGATATAACACATCGATCTGCGTTCGCGCAAGCGTGCCTAGCGGCCCGAGCAGATTTTGCCCGTGCCACCCTGTATAGGCCGTGACCGGGATACGATACCAACAGGTGATGCTGGAGGAGTACACGGAGACACTCCCTCGAGCGGCATCGTTGATCGTCGTCCCCCGAGTCCCTGATCCTGGCGGTGATTTAGTAACGTTTTCCAGCCCCTCGTTTCCGCAACTCGTTTCTCGTTCTGGGACGAAGGATCAATCGTTGAAACGTAACGTTGAATGAGAGAGGAGAGGAGAGAATCGGGAGAATCGGTTCGTAACACAGTCGGCGATCAAAAGCTTCCTCGATCAACCTTCTGATCGTGGTTCAGTGAACGGATTATTAAAGTTTCTATTGTTGTTGATTTGTTTTTCCTTCTTTCTTTTTCCTTGCTTTCATTTACTTATACAGTGGTTTGTCTTATTTTATTTTATTTTATTTCTTATTTTATTTATTTTGCAAAAGATTGTGAGATATCCCTGAGATAAGAAGAGAATCCCGCCAGAAGGGGGATAGACTCTCGATAGACTGATAAATAATCGGTGCTCGGCCGGTTGTTGGGAGACGAGCGGCTTCGCCTCGTGGTTTATGCACGTCGAAGTTGGAAAGCCGTGGGCAACGCGTGTCCCGTAAGGTGGTACGAAGGGAGGGAATTATCGTGGTGGGAAGAGTCATGGATGATGATCCAGTGCGGGTTCAGCAGGTCCCGGCTAATCAGTCGCAGGATCGTGCGTGAGAAGGAAAAAGGAGGAGGGAATTGGATTAATTCGAATATTATTCGATTCGATTTGTTTCTCGAATGGGGATGGATGTTCGGAGAGTGAAACGGGCCTATTTGTCGATCGGTCGAACATCCAAGATCGTCCAGAAGAGGAGCAACGAGGATGTGGAAGAGATGGAAAGAAGAAAAATCGATGCGTCGATGAAGAAGTGAAGTTTTTTGCGCATCTTTTTGCGTTCTAAAGGAAATTTTAAAATTGGAGGAAGGGAGCAAAAGGTATTTCTTTTTTTCGAGATAAATTTCTAAATTTATCGCTGATTATTATTAACGATTATTGTTGTTCGAATATTATTGTTTTAATTCTTTTCTATCCCCTATTTTTTTAAATAACTTAAGGATTTAATTATTCATTAAAATATAATAGTTAAAAGATACGAGAGAAAAATAAATGTAAGAAAAATTTGCGCGTATGCGAAAGAGATATACCGATAACAGATGAATAAACGAGTATTGATGATATTAAAAACAGCACGAGAAATAATGCACAGCACAGATACGAATAAATAGAATCTGGAAATTCGGAATGGATATGGAAAATTGGAGCAATCGATTGCTAGGTGGTAAATGACTCTGACTTCCCTGATTACACTATAATATGATGAAACCCCGTTCAATTTAATCTACGATAAATCTGATTGCAAATTGTCGGATAAAATCGGCGTGCCGAATGCTTTCGAGCTGCCCTCGCGAAGCGTTGAAAAGACCGCAAACTTTCATCAACGAAAAAAAAGTCCATCAAATTTATAGAAAGAATAATTCTTAAAAAAACTAAAAATACCAAAAACAATTGCTCCATTGAATGAAAACTCTCGTCCAAAACACAACACGACAATTGAACCACTTTAAAAAAAAAAAGAGAGAGAGAGACGCATCTATCAGGTTCTCTCGTGAAAAGAAGCAAGCCGCAACCATTTACAAGCATCTCGTGCAAAGAAGCGAGAGGGAGAGGGACGAATGAATCCATTAAAAGAAAAAAAATATCAAACAGAAAAGGGACTTCTCAAAGTGGAGACTTCGTGAAACGAGTCGAAACGAGATAAATATCAAAGAGTATTCCTTCTTTTTTTTTCTTTTTTTTTTTCGAAACTTCATCCGGCCGCCCTAGTTACAAAATTATCCCAGAGTGTCTAAGCGCTCTGTGCGTGCGGTTGAATCGATATTCTGTCCGAATTTCGAAACGTCGGGGAAAAACCGTTTCGGCTCAACAAAAGGGCAACGGCAAAGAGGATCGCGGGTGTGAATGAAATTCGCCCATTGCAGGATTAATTGGCAATTCGCTCAGACAGTCGGTTAATTACGGAATTAGGGGAGGAATAACCCTCGAGGAGAAGTCGTTGAAATGACAAACGTGGTTCAAGAGGCACGTTTGTCTGAGTGCATTCCTCGTTTTCTCGTCTCGCCGGTGTTTCTCGCGTGCCACGTGTTGGAATAAAAATAAAACTCCTCCGTATTGATACATACGAGGGAACGATTCTATTGTGACAACAACGTGGTTTTTAAATTTTGTTTGATAATTGATCTCGATCGAAGGGATCGGTCTGCTATATTCTTTGAAGATTTGTGAGACTGGTACGTTTAACGGTATATTTTAATGGACGAATTTTAATTCGAAAGGAGGAAATGTTGGAAGAGACGCGCGCGAATATTGGTCGTCGAGGAGAAGAGTAGAGGATGGTGCGATAAGGAACACGGTGTGGCGGGAAGGTGAGTAGAGAAATAGAAAATTTGTTTTTTGCTTATTTCGATTTCGATGATTTCTTGATGTAAACGTGGAATATTGGCGATTCCATTTCATCTAATTTAATTTTATATTTACGTGGATTGAAATGTAATTCTTCCCGAGAATTATTTTTAATCTTGTTTAACTTTGTATGCATTGTGAAACGTGTGATTAAATTTTTTAGTTGATTTTAACGCAGGAAGATACACGATCATAACTGGTTTTGCGATTCATAAAAACTTTATAAGCAAAGTGGAAGATTTAAAATTAAGATATTCTCTTTTCAAATTCAGAGAGAATTGTGAAAAAATAATTGAAAAATTTTCAGAAGCACGATATATACGTATATATACAGAATATTAGAAAATCGATAGAGAAGGTTTTAAAAAAGTAATTTTCTAAAATAGCTGAACTTGATAATTAATTTTTATCAATGAATCTACTGTCGAATATTTTATGTGCTACGTTGAATGGAAATTATGAATTATTAATAGTTTAATTATGAATTAGAAAATATTTAAAAACTGATAACTATTTAAAAACTTTAGAAAATACAAAATACTCTGAAAAGCGTTCACAGAAATAAATAATACGCAGAGTACAATTAAATTAGCAGAAACTCATAAATTAACAAAAAAACAAAAAAGCGTACACAGAAATTAATAATACGCATAAATAAATAATAAAAAAAAAATTATTCAATGAAATATCACAAAAATACGTTCACAATAATAAATAATACGTATAATTGTAATAATAGAAAAATTATCTAAACCATCTAATATATGAAAAACTATTGAACGAAAAACCTAACGTTAATCTAATTTTATTAAAAATTAAAAAATTATTTAATGAAATATCACAAAAATACGTTCGCAATAATAAATAATACGTATAATTGTAATAATAGAAAAATTATCTAAACCATCTAATATATGAAAAACTATTGAACGAAAAGCCTAACGTTAATCTAATTTTATTAAAAATTAAGAAATTATTAAAAAGAAAAAATTATTGATACTATGGAAAGCGTGCACAAAAGCATATATTACGCAGACCAGAACAAAAAGAATTAAAAATAATTTCAAAAAATCCTTGCATTAGAAAAAAATCTTCGGTAAAAAAATACTTCTATTATCTCATATGATAAATGCAACAATACAAAACAAACAATACAAAATATTAGAACGATATCTACCAAATTACGTGAAAATATAGGTAAATAATCGACGAATCTCCAACATCGATTTATCCAAAAATAAAGCTTAAAGTATAAAAAAAAAGTTTTCCATTTAACTCTTGACGCGTTTATTCATCACTTTTTTTTCCAATTTATACCACCATTTCTCTAACATTCCGTATCATACCATGTTGCTCTGAACAGTTTGCATTTTCTTCCTTTAAATTTTCTTATCTCACGTGAACGTTTCCCCCATCGTTAGCAAAAAAGCACCTCCGCAGGATGAAGTTTAATCACAAAAGCAATCCTGCTCTCCGCATATTAAAACATCGCTTTGGGGGCGTGGAGGGAGGAGGGATGAACTTAAAAGCCGAATATCATCCTTTTCACTCCGGTGTACCAGAGGATTCGTTCGACCATCGCAAATAATCTCGTAAATGGAAGAATGGAATGGAAGAATCTTCCTTCGACGATCAAATATTCGCGTAAAAATATCGAGAAAGAGTTACTGGAATATATTAAATCTCTCTCTCTCTCTCTCTCGAAATGCATTATTCAAAGGGACAGTACCGTTAGTCGCAACCGTGGTCGAATTGGACAAAGAAGAACAGTGCAATGCGGCCGAAGGTCGTGGTTATGCAAATGGAAATGGCTGGGTTCGATCGTTACAGCAACCAATCCTTGACAACCAATGGAATTCGTTATTTACTTTATTTAAGGTTTTCTCTTTGTTACGGATACGTGACTTCCTTTTGCACGACTAAATATGAATTATAGAGATATTTAATATTTGACTCTTTGACGGTGCAATTAAATTATGAGAAATTCAAAATAAGAAATTTAATTATTCTTTTATCATAGTATAAAAATTTTTTTAACGTTTTTCTTCGTTTGATTCTTATTCTCTTTCTCATTTTTTTCTGAACTATAATTTGGAAAGGAAAAAAATAGAAAGTTTCGTTCGAGCATTCTTGATTTCCAAGATTGATCAATAGAGAGAAAATAGCAATCGTCAAAAGAATTTAAAAGTGCAAAACGTGTCGAGGTTAAATCACTTTAATTGTAATGAATCTTTTTATGTATCGAAAGAGTTCACTTTATTCACAATGGAACTTGCTTCGTGTTTGACCTACAATATTTTATTCGAATAGGAAGAGATAAAAATTTTTTTCAGACGAATATGTTATACGAATAAAAAACAAAACGTTGGATTGTGCAATGCCACTTTTTGTGTTTGTATCGCACAATTTTTAATAAAATGATAACATTTCTAGGACTTACGATACGCGTTTCTTACACTTTGTGAACTATTTGTGTTAAATATCCGAAATTTAAACTTTTTTATTTGATAATAAAAATATATTAGTCAAATGTGAATAAATTATTGATTCTTCAAAATATAAAAATATTTATATTTACATGTATAAAATAAACTGGACGATATTAAAAAATATTTTAAATTTTTCATCATTCACGACACGATAATATTATTATAAATAAATATTTCTGATTGTGCGAAATGGATATTTATGATAAAACAAAATTTTATTCCCTTCTATCTACGAGGCATTCGATGTATCTTATTTTCATTTCAATAAACCATTCACAAATGTAAATTATGAATTGACGTACTCATGCTTTGAGATATTCCTGCTTTGTTTCCACATTGTTTGATACACTCATTGTTGTAATTTACTACGCGAAATCTTAATACAAAATTCATTTTCTTTATAAATCGTGTGTAAATTCTACCTATTGATTGTCAATATTGTTTCAAAGATTCAAATACTATTATCTTATGAATATTAAATATATACATACATCATCTAAATCACATCTCAAAAAAAATATATTAAGAAAAATAAATAATAATTTTTGCTATTTCCAAGAATTAAAATTCCATTAAAAGATTACAAAAATCTTCAGAAATCTAACTTTCATAAAAAGAATTTAGAAAAAGAACGACACGTTACAATTTGTCATAAAAGGAGAGTCACGAATCGATTTAAAAACACTATCCTCAACTCTCTCATATACACTTATTTTCTCACGAAATATCCCGTGAATATTGGAAACGATAAAATTCAAAGGACAGTACCAATATATATATATATATATATAAACCCTCGAGACGCGGACTTGAAACCGCAATCGAGCTCGAATAGATCTCGAATCCCGGCTAAGCCTGTGATAAGAAAATAGATAAGTTTCCGGTTGTAAACATAGATTGCGTAAAGAAGGATTTAGATCGATACAAAGTGAGAACTTTCCACTTGGTGGAAGAGATATGAAACATGGACGAACAACAATGCTTCCCTGTTACCACTGTACGTACGCTGTTGTGCACGGCGTATGTACGAAAATTGACAGATAATTTTGCACAAACGCGTTATGCACGCCCCACGGTTATGTATATCTACTCTCCTTATGTAAAAGTGAATGGGCACGAGAGGATGGTAAATGACGAGGCGTGCGCTGTATCACGAAGTTGTATTAAAGCGACGTGGAGCAAGAAGTTTCGCCTTCTGTTAAATGAAATGAGGTAGCGGGCGAGCTGGTACTCTATTTTCGAGCGAGTCATAGACGTAACTTGTTTACGAGAAATGTTTGGTAGTAAATGGTGCATGGAATTGACGCATTCAATGAAATCGAATCAGAAAAATGTTATGTTCGTTTTCTAATGGTCTGTTATCATTGAATTGGAATAGTAGAGATGAACGAAGAAATATATTTATTTTCTTCAATTTTTCATCATTTTCTATAAGTTCTATAAGGTCGTTGAATTGGTTAAGAGTTTGCTTAATGTTTTTCGATATTGAAAAATTAAGAATTGATGCAAATTCCCTCAGAAATGTTCGATGGAATTCATAACGATATAACGACGAAAAATATACCTATAAAAAAGAAATTTGTAATGAACGCTTCGTTTCCATTCTTGGAGCAATTATTTCTATTGATATCTTTGGTCCAGCTTCGGCTAGCTCAACTTGCGGCCAACCAACTTTTCACTTTAACCGCGCCCCGGAACATTATCTTTTATTAAATCTACTACGACGCTAACTCGTGTTAATAATGCAGGATTTATTCCAACTTTAGGAGTGCAAAATGCCCCAAGGAAGCATCCATTGGCAAGGGACGCAGAGAAGAGCCTGCGGTCCAGGAGCTCACTGGAATGTTCAGGTTGGTTTCAAACTTCCAAGTACAAAGTACCTTTAAAATTAATACACGTATCTCGCTAAGAATCTACTCGAATCTACTCATTTATTTTTAAATACACGAATCTCCCTATCTTTTATCCCTCTTTCATATTGAATTTGTATCATAATTTTAATAAAATTTCTATTTAAATTGTAAATTACATTTTTTAAACTTATATTACTGTTATTATTTATTATAATAATTTTGTATTTACGAGTAAATGAAAATAATTTTGGTCATATATTAAATAGAACAAAATACGTGCGATCATACATATTCAATTACAAATTTGCATAAGTAATCCTTTCTTTTTTTTTTTTTTTTTTTTGTTTAATAGAAATTCGTTCATTTTCTTTCGATCGATTATGTTTTGTTATAGATACATATTGCATATAAATAGAGCATGTATAGTAATAGACACGACTACATCTGCATAAATTGATCTAAAACTGAACTGTGTCAATATATTTTCTAAGAAAGAAAATATACTGAATAAAATAACATTAACATAAGACACGAAAGATTCGTTTTTTTTTTAATTTTAAAATAGAAATCATAAATAATATTTCTTGCGATATTATTTCCAAATCATTCCAATTCGACGTTTCTTCTCAAATTTTGAACCATTTTATTTTTTAATTATTTGTATAAAATTTTTGCGAATATCCACTTGTTATTTGCATTGATCAAATATTGGCCCGATTCGGTCCATCGAATTCGAAACAAACAATGAGCATGAATAATCGATTTTCATTTTTCTGAGAGAGAAATAGAATATGCCTTTCACGAAAAAAATTATTATCCAAATAATCTTCATGTGTAATCTGGAAAGTGAAACACGAGTTCTCTTCTCACAGTACCCGCAAAGAGATGATATTATTCGCGAGTATGCGATATTGTTCAAGTGTATATGCAAACAGAAGCTCGGATGTGCATACAAACGCGACTGTTACATCTATATTTGCAATACGAGGAACAACACGTTAACGAGGAAATAATTTCGTGCAAATGAAAATCTAATTACGTTTCTTAATTACACCGAAGTTATATATTTTACTCGAATAATTTTAACCCACTTTTACATATCCGATAATTAGAAAGAAGCATGCTTCAAAATTTTATTAACTTTATATCAAAACTTCTTAATTTTATGCTACTTGGTATTTTTCTACAATTTTCTCCAATCTTTCTAAGCTGTAGCCTAGAATCAATTTATTATCTTTCTTAATTAATCGTAGATATTAATCGTTTAAAATTAGATCACTTAGTAGATTTCTTGTGGCAAGAAATATACTTTACAACACTAATTTGAAAAAAAAAGAAAAAAAAAAAAAAGAAAATGATCACACAAATAGAAATATATTAAATATTATCATAAAACTTAAATAAATCCAAAAGTGATTGTACAAATTTTTGATGTATTATCAATCGTTTAATAATTATGATTTATATGAAGATAAATTAAACATTCGAATATGATGACATCGACATCGCATAAAGTGTCAAATCTGATTTCAACAGTCTAACTAAAGCTAACTAAAACGAAACGATGATAAAGCATCCATGACCAGCGAGACATCATCCAGGTTATTAACTGTTAACAAAAGCAATTAAATCGAATAGGTGGTGAGAGGCAAGGTGACAACACGATGCTTGTGGTACGCCTGCAAAGCTCTCGGAATTGGTCTGCTACTAATGCTTTTAGGAGCTTGCATGGCGACCATAGGTGAGTAGAACTCCGGGGACTAATCAATTTCCATTAACATTATTACTGTTACGATCTACTTGAGAATAACGTGAAAATAACTCAACAAATTGCGTTTAATATATCAAACACCTTTCGCTTTAAAACTACATAAATACGTAATTATTAACTCTTTCGTTACGACGAGAGTAATGCGTGTAAAAGCATTTGTTTTTTTTTTTCCAAGTATCTAAGATATACAAGTAGAATTATATATACTTGTATATGTGTGTTCTGTATAATTAAAGAATATAAATCAGTTTTTTAATAGTAGCGAAAGGGTTAATATATTATGAGAGATATAATAGATGCATGATATTGATTAATGATTTGCTTTTTCCTCAATGCTTGTAACAATTTTATAATATCTATACAAATTTGCGACTTTATCAGCATGAATAGAAATAAATTATCAATTTCCAATCAAATCTAGTTCAATAGGGATTAATAATATTATTAATATAAATAGCATCTGAATTGAAACTATTATTACTCCGATGATCAAACATATATATTCGAATAATTTGATTCAACGATTGTAATAATCGTTGAATCATAACGTGCCTATTTTTTTTTCTCGGAATATCAAAGAATTTTATGTCTGCATATCATGTAGGATACTTCGCAGATCAGCTATCCGTGGCTCAAGAGATCAGAGGTAACCTAACAATAAGAGTGAAGAATGAATCACGTGGATTTCATCTGAATAACCTCAGTTATGCTGGTCCAATTGTAATGGGCGTGGGAGGTAATGGTAACATTTTATAGAATGTTTAGAATGATATTCTCCAATGATATTTCTCTATCCATTTTATAATAGTTAAAAATTACGTTATGACTATGGACTGTGTCATCGTTTCGATAGCAAAATTACTTTAAAGAAATTTACTATTTACAATGTATACATTAAATTAAAACTAACATTTCGAACATTGAATAAACGTAAATTCCAATAATACGTGGAAATATAAAATTTAACAAATGATCAAAGCAGTCGACATTTTGCAATGATAAAATTAAAAAGGAATATTAAAAAATTGAAAAATTGCGTCAATATTTTATAAAAGTTTCTAATGAATTGTTCTATCTATATACATTCGTTAAAAAACGAAATAGAAAATATAATCGTACAATAGCACATATATAATGAAATGAAATAGTGTATGGAAATATAACAAACAAAATAGAGTATCTATTGCTGAAAGTTTAACTTATTTAATAATAAAACAAAAAATGATATTTGATTTGTTGTCTGAAACAATGTACTACATATGTCATTTTTTTTTTCTGGAAAAAAAAATGAAAAAATAAGTTTTGCCCCCAGAGAGATTTGAACTCTCGACCCCTGGTTTACAAGACCAGTGCTCTAACCCCTGAGCTATGGAGGCTCACGGTTAGGTACGTCTTGAAAATCGTACATAACGCCAAACATTCTTCTTACATATTCTTCGAAGAATTTTTAATTAAATATAAAAACTTTAAACTAAATCAATAATTATTTCTATTAATATAATATAATATAAGATAATTTTCATTAAAAATTGAAAAAATCAATAACAATTACTTAAATGCGTATATAATACCATTAAAATTCAAATTATGTTAACTTGAATTTAATAGAAAAAATTGCTATTATTAAATAGCAAATATATATTATAATATAAATCATTCATGATAACTTGGAATATATGTATATAATTTAAAAAATAATGATACAGATGATGTATAACCATGTATAATAAAATTATATTATAAAATATAATATAATTTTGCAAAATAAATAACAATTTATTTTTAAATAAAAATAATATATATACCAAGAAAATATTACTGATATTATAAGGTATATATATTTAATAATTAAAATTAATTAATGATTTCCATTATAATACAACTTTACTTAATTTAATTTATTAGTAAAATTATAATAATTAAAATATATTCCACACATTAAGATAATAATTTCATATCTCTTTTCATCTTGTTTGATAAAATGTTCAAAAACCTTTAGAGACCACTTAATCCGTCCATTATCAATGCTTTGTTCTCTGATCCGTTTCACGAATTGATTTTTTCAACACAAAAGGATAATTAAAAAGAACAAATTAACAGCATATTTCGCTTTAATTCGTGAAAATTCTTCGATTATCGCATTGATAATACTTACCATTATTAATTTTAATTAGTTAAATTAATTATTAAGCAAAAGATTTTTGTGTAATTGATATTATGAAATATACATTCAATTATTTCTAGAATAATTAAAATATCTGACGTTACGTTACGAATTAATTACTTTCGTTGAACTGTACTTCAAAAAATATCGAAACTTTAATTAAATAAAAATACCAGATCTCATCTATTTACAATCCTATAATTTTCACAAAATGAACAATCAAAGTACATACTTTGAAAAGAAAGAAAAAAAGAGAGATTTTTGATAAATATCAAATATCAATTTATCAAAAAAGAAATTCCGATTTATAAATCACAATTATTGAAATTTTACGCTTTCTTTCCATGATCTCTAAATGAAAGTAACGTTAGGTTACTTAATAGGTTAAGTCGATGACCTGAAGTACTTGAACTTGTAACCCGTGATCCCTCGGTAATGCGATAAAATCCCACAGGATTTATCGTGGTGGCAGCCTGTGTAATGACTTTCGAGGCCCGTGACAACGCTGCCAAAGTGGTTCCGGCCCGTTTCCGTTTTAATCAAACGTCGACAATAAAAAATACGAGGAATCAACGGAACCGTAGATCCACGTCAAGTCAAACGACGAAATGGGATCATCAGTTAGGCGTGTTCAAAGTGAACAGAAGTCCGAGCCCAAGCATACACGAGGTTTCGAGGAAACAATTGACCGCGGAGTTCATGCAGTTTTCGAAAGAATTGAACGAGAAACAGGCTGGCCACTCGATTAAAAAGAGTCCCAGCGCGCCAACATTGATAGACAAAAAATCACCACGTAAAAGAACGTCAAAATACGCTGGATGCGCTTTATTAAATCCGGAATTATTGCAAAGACATGCCCTTTCCGTTGATAACCCGAGCTACAGTCCTCATCAGGTATTAGAAAGATAGAAAGGTAATAGGGGAGATCTGTACAAAATTGTGTTTTTATTTTTGCAAAAATTTTTCTTTAAAATTAATTAGATTTTTCGCTATAATAATTGTTGTTAAGGTGAATATTTTTATTTAACGGAATCGTTAAAAAATATATATGCTTCAAACTGAATTTGAGGCAAAATTTGATTCATCTCTAACTCTACAATAAATTATTATTATGTTTTACTTAGTTTTAAATTGTTCTTTGAATCGATTTCAAACATGTACAATTCGAATATTTAATGCTTGAATATAAAAGTTTATGCGTTTATATACATGTACGTATCTCTTGGTATGCAGATAAGATAAGGCCCGTATGAACTGAAACCGGCATAAAACTCGTTTGAGTGTTCATAAATTGCTTTATGATTTTTTTACAATAAGAATTAAAAAGCAAAAGTTAACGAACGAGATAAACCTTGAAGATAAACAAAGAAAATAAATAAATTCTCAAAGAATAGATATAACATGTAGCACTTGTACAAATATTAAATATCACATGTTGGATAATTTTCCAATGTTGCTATTAATTTAGAAAACTGTCATCATATCGAAAATCAAAAAAAAGAATTTGTTACACATTCTACGTTACACTTTTATCGATTATTTTGTGCTAATTATGGAATCGCTTAATAAACGTAATTTTAATAAAATCATACTATTTTAATTACACGATTTTGTACAGATATTCCTCTACATCATTTGCCAATCACGTACACGTAATCAAAGTAATTTTCTGAATAGGTCAGCAGAGAAAGTTTGGATCAGCAAAAGATGGGAGGCAGCCAGGTTTCAATGGCGATGGATTTGCACATTCCTAATAAAGGTCCAGTTACGTTGAAAGTTAAAGATAGATCGGACACAGCGAGGCGTCATCAACTGCTTCGACAAACGAAAGTTGATTACGTCGAAGAAGTTGATGAAGCTGTTAAATCACCGACCGGTCGCGGTTACTCGCCTAAATTATCAGGTCAGTCGTGATTATGCGAAAATGTTATTCCCCCTGTAATGAATTTTTAACGAACTACGAATTATTCCCGTACAGGTGCCTATAGCAAATATCCAGACGATTTTGTACCGAGGAAAAGAAATTCGATAGATATAAAATTATTAGAGGAATTGACAGCGTCGAAAGATCTTACAAAAATATCACCTAGAGATTTTCGTAAAATCTCTTCGCCCAGCTTCCATAAAATGTCATTCGACAAAAGTGGAAGTGATCGTAGGATCGAGAGAAGCATGGGCCAACGTAAAGCCAGCCTTGAATTCAGGAAAAGTCCCGATTTTCGGAGGGGAGATTATAGGTAACGTTACGAATTATGCACGTTAAAAAAGTTTCAACAGAACTTACGATCGAAGATCTTCTTTTATCACGTTTTTAATTAAGAAAGAGTAATTTTTATAATTTTAAATTTGATTCTTTTGCAATTCGGGGGCAAATTAAATTTTTTTAAATTAAATTTAACCATCTTTTACATAAAATATAAGATATATAATAATTCTTAATCTAATTTAAACTTTCACCCTTCTAAAAAATATTAACATTCTCTTAATATTAATTCTCATTATTCAAGATTATAATAATAACTGATAATTAAAAAGCGTAATTCGAAAGCGTAAATAAAAATGTTTGATAAATTTATCCCAGGAAATTGTCAGTGGACAGATTCAGTATCGATTGCGCTAAATATCTATCCGACGATGTGGAAATGAGATCAAGGGCGAGCAGCGGTGACAATCTGAGAAGACAACGGCAACCGAAACTGCATCACTCTAGATCGGATGACAATAAGAGGGCGTCGTTCGAAAGACACCAGAAAGACGCTCAATCGAGCCGATACTCTTTGAACACGCAAGCGGTCATCGAGAGCGGGGGATCAGAGGCGGAATTCAAGTATTTCACAGCAACGTCACTTGACACGGAAGAAAGTCGCGCTGACAATTCAGACGACAGCCACGCGATCGATATGGACGAACAGATAGCAACGAATGTGCCGTCCGACGGACCGACAGAAGCTGATGCCTTACTCGAGGAACCTGAATTAGAGAACGTGGCCGAAACCGACGTTGAGAGCTCGAGGGACGAGATGGACGAGACTGAAACGTACGATGAAGCTGTGTTAAGAACGAAAAATTTAATATCTAACGATCAGAAGAGACAGGGGAAGAATAATATTCGTAACGTGGATGAAAGATTGGATGATTTTGTGAAAAACAAAGAAACGATATTGTACATAAAAGAGCACGAAATTTAGGAGAAAGATTATCGATCATCATCTGATCGAACATGGAATATGATTAAAATAAAATAAAACGTGTATTGCGAATGATTGGAAAAAGAAGATTTTTGAAAAATGTTTGAATTTTCCACGTTAGGTACACGTTTAATAGAATATTGAGAAATTGATAAATTTATTGTATCCAAGTTGATACAGCCGCTTGTTGTTTGATAACGTATATTTAGTTAAAAAAAAAAAAAAAACTAAATATTATAATATTCGACGTATAAAATTCAATGAACATTGCGCAAATTGTATAAAATAATGATCACGTTTAGAAAGGATAGATAGTTTGTTATGTGGCAGTTTGTTACGATTGCATTTTTACGTGGAATTTAAACGAAATTTGAAACAAATGTGATGGAACGAGTACGACAATTATTAAAATAATTCTTTTCGAGCGAATAATTGTTCTTATTAATAACATTCGCTCCGAATTTTGTATTATATTTTCTTTTTATAATTATTTTTTATTATATTTCGTATTGCAATTATTTGAATAATTAAATTTATCTTCTCGATTAATATTGAATACAGTAACGCGATACATGCTCAATGATCTCAAAACGTTAATGTAGATAGAGTTAATATAGCTTATCGCGGATTGTATTTTGTTCCAAGACAATCATTTCGAAAGAAAATTACTTCCCTCACGAGAAAAAAACGTGATAAGTATAAAAAATTTGCCGCACTGATGACAAATAATAAATGTACATATCCTCTTATGTGATCCGTTGATCTGTACAAAATTAATAATATTTATAATGAAGATACATAGAAATTATGTTGGAATCACGAAACATATTTCTGCCGAAGATCACTATAGCCTTCTGCATGTGTATGAACAATTTCATCATTGTTTATGATGCAAAAAATAAAGCGAAGAGACGATCGCGAATTGATTCGCGCTGATTCATGCAATTATTTCAAACTTGGCGATGTATCAAAAGTTCTCTTTCGTTAAAAATATTTAACATAAACTACGCGAACGTAACATAAATTTTTAATAAACTTAAAATATCTTGAAAAAAAATTGAAACAATGCAAGAAAAAAAAAAACGAACTATTTGCAATGATTCTTGAAATTTTACTAAAAGCATATTTTCCAGTTTTTAAAGCTTTCAATATATATCGTATTACCACTTTTTAATCCAAACTTATGCTATTAAATGACTGCTAAAAAGAAAATAACAGAATGTAATCAATGTTTTAAACAACATTTTTCTCGAAACAACTTTACCCATATGACGTGGTTCTTTCATATCATATCAAACATATATACAATCATTATACAATGTTGAAATATCTCTAATAATACATTTTACGAAAGTTCAGTAATTCGAAAGTAGAATTAACTGTCAAAAACTTTCTTATTCTATTGTTAAACCGTTTCACATAATTGAATAGGTATAAATTGTGGCCTATTTCATTATACCAGATGTCGAAATCGATCTTTCAGACAAAAAATACTTTTTTCTTAGATAATATAACGAGAACGAAAGAATCTATGGATTTTGTAAATATTCGAATCGAGTATAAAAAAAAAAAATAAAAAAAAAGAAAAGAAATCTAGCAAAAAATGACAATCTATTTACGACGAGTGGTATGCGTTGTTTAAAAAAAAAATGAAAAAGTCAAATGATAATAAAAGAATCTATTTTTATATTTCTCCTACGATGATATGATGACTAAATTGATGAAATACGATTGAACGTATTAAATCATCGTAAGATGAAAATCACGTTCTTTTTAATTCTAGTTTAATTTATTTTTAGTACGAATAATACACATTTGAAATCAGTAAAGTTCTTCGTTTATTTTCGTTCGACATTTTGCACTAAAAATTGATAATGAAAAGATAAAATATTCAAAAATATTTTCTTGGCAAACGAAATAAAACGAAAAAAGACGAATTGCGTTTATTCAGAAAACAAAAATTGTTTGTTATTCGAGTTTGAATGGACCAATATTTAACAAAAAAAATATACGTATAAAAATGATAATTTAATGATAATATGTATTTGGAAGATTGCTTCTCTGGCTCGGTCTAATATTTCACGCCCAATTATGTATGTACATATGTATGATATATTTGAGAAATTATTTATTAAATAAGAAATAATAAGAATAATAAATTATGTACATACTTATTTTTAGAATTAATAAAATTTAAATTTTTTACTTCTACATTGTCACGAGATTCAAATATTGTTATCTTTCTTTATGATGAAACAAATTTTTTAATTCTTTTTCAATAAAATTATTAAAATATATTTAACAAAAACAAAATATTTGTGTTTTTTTTTCTAAACTTAAGTATGGACAAATATTAATAAATATTATCTTTTAAAATTTGATTTTATATATCTATATAATATAATCTTAATTATTGAAAATTATATGTATATTAAATATGAAAATGCTACATTAATTATTTACTCCGATATCGTGTAAATATATACGAAATATTTAATTAATAATTAACAAGAAAAACATAATCAAGCTGTGATGAAATTGTAAGTAAATAAAACTTACTAAATAGTAGTATGGATTACTTACTATCATAGTTAGTGCTGTGTATTTGAGGCAATATTTACAGATATAGAACAAGTTTAAAAAAAAATTACATACGATAAAATTATAAACGATTTAAAGATACTCATGAAATACACAATCAATGATAATTTCATCTATTTATTATTAAATAATTTAAAAACGCGTTTAAAAATCAATTTCTTAAAAATTGAATAATATATGGTAGTATTGATATGTATGATATTAAAATATATTTTAATATATATTTGTTAAAATTAAGAACTATTTTTTATTTTAATTAAAAAATATTTCTGATAAATCTAAAAAAAATTATCTCGATACCGTATGTATATAATATTATCTTCAAATGTCTTTATATTAAAATTAAATGAATGCAATAATATAATAAATTAAATATGCAATATACAAACAATATTTCATAAGTGTAATCTTTAAAAAAATATATTATTTTTCAAATTTATATTTGAATAATAATAAAAAGACATATCAAAAAAATCTTTGTTAGAATAATTGAATTTATCAAAAATTTGAATATATTTATATAAAATCATTCAAGTGTAATCAAGAGTATCTTTTGCAGCACTAACAATGTTCTTTGCTTAATATAAATAGTTTTGTTGTAATCCAATTGTATATTTAGCAAATGCGTTGAAATAAATGAATATCGCTGTAAGATTCAATGTAATCTTTGCATGCTGATTGTTGTAAAGTCTCAATAAAACAACTTTCAAATATTATTCATATGTGAAATATATTTTTTTGTATGAATTGTAAAAAGTAAAGATAAAAATTTGGGCGCGAAATATTTGTCTCATTTATACTTTCAGTTGATAAAAAGTACTGACTCACCGATTGCGGCGTCCTCTCTCTATGCTAGTAACTTTCGTCTTAACCTTTCTTAGTTCATCTCTGGTAAAAAGAATCCAACTAATCCAGCAATCGTTAATATGATTGATTTTTTTCATATTTTTCCAGCCTGTAATATATAAATGAATTAATATTAATATATATTTATATTTTCAATCTATATTAACAAAATTTCTAACTTATAATTATATTATATAAATCAAATAAAGATCAAAAAAAATAAAATGTGCAAGTATAACATATAATTAATCATCAATAAAGAATTAAATAAGTAAAAATTTAATTAGAATTCAAATTAATTTGAATTTTTATAGTTTTTTAAGCAATTAGTTAATCCACAAAAGAATTCTTAAATTCTTACATAATTAAAAAATTATATAATTGCACAATTATCATCCAATTATTAATACAATGCTACAATATATTAATTTTTATAAAACAATATAAAAATATGTCGGTAGAGTAGAGGCTGTATATTTCTACAATAGAATATTGAACACTAGGTGGCGGTTAGTATTCGCATGAGGGTATCGGTACAGGTGAGCGACGGCGGGAATTGAAGAAAGAGCGAGAGAGAACTTATCAAATTAATGGTTGAAAGCAAGATAGAGTTGGTGAGGGGCCACAGAACATCGTCGAAGTATACCTTAGTTCGTTTGAGCAGTACACTGCTGGACGCCATACTCGGCACTTGTGATTTTTTACTGTTTAAAAAAAAAAATATGCAGAATCTATGAATCTCGCATTCATTGTTATTAAAAGTGATTATTAAAAAAGTGCCAATAAATTTTGTCTTTAGTAATAATGTTTTGCCATCGGTAACAAAAATTTCTAAAGGATCAAGGAACAGAATGATGTCCGAACGGTTTCACAAGTAAGTTTCTTTTTATACAACAGACTTTATACATACCTTTCCGAATTTTCATATTTTTATTTTTCTATCAATACACATTTTTTATATTACAATCAGATATCTATTTAAGACCCAGAAAGTAGAGAAATGTCGAGGAACCAGGTTCTTGTCTCTGGTTAAAGTGAAAAAATGACATGCCTGGTTAACCATGAGAACGAAGTATGCACTTTGAAATCTTGATCACCGACTGCAATTCAATAGGAGATCAGTTAGAGAAATTCATTGTTTCATAATCAGCATAATATTATGATTCATAAGACTTATTAATTTTATATAAATATTTTTCTTTTTTCTAAGAATTATTTAAAAATGATAAAAAAAATAACTTTAATTATTGAATCTTTAAAATTACTATATTACTATTACTAATAAAAATTAATAATATTTTTAAACTATCAATATTACATCAATTGATTTATTACATTATTCATGCAACTTCATCGATGCTAATGAAATTTTTTGTAATAACATTTAAAATAAATAATATAAACAACTGTTGAATAAAAAAATTCAAAAAAATTTTAAATATCTATTTACCTAAAAATGTACAATATTTATGATCCTGCACTATCTCATCGGTATATGTACATCACGCCGCGCGTGCGGAATTTATGCATGAGAACACCTTTGCTTTTATTTGATTCAGCACGAAGATTTATCACCCAATTCACTTCTACGAATACTAGGTATACATAGCACTTCTGAATATCATCTTTCACTGAAAAAATTCATTTAATTAAGAGATATAATAATTTATTCAAGTAAAAATATTTATTTAATAAAATAAATCGTTATTTTAAACTTAATATAATATATAAATTGTTTTTTTATAATTTTATTAAAAATATCTTTAAAATTAATTTTAATTAATTAATTTTACTTTTCTTTTAAACTTAATTTTGTGAACTTTCATAATAATAATTATATAATAATAATAAAAATAATTTATATAATAATAATTATTGTAACTCGAAAAAGATAACAATTAAGAGATTTATTTAATATAGTGAAGATAAAGTATTTTTTTTTCTTATAACACTCACACTTTTATTTAAATAAAATAAATCCATGACGAACAAAAATGTCAAAAATAAAAAATTATAATATATATCTGATAAAAACTTTATATATACAATATTTTCTATACACAAATATAGACAATACACAAATTCTTTTACTATTTATTCATTTCTTATTTAGAATTTTCTTATAATTTTTTATAGGTATGTATATTTTAAATAAATCAATAATTAAATTTCTAAAAATCTGTAGAATAAAATATAATGAAGTAATCAAATATTTAAAAAAAATAAATAAAAAATATATATATATATATGTATAAATTTTGAACATTGCATGTGTGTAATGTAAAATCTTGTATAAGACCTCTTAATTAGAGAAAAATTAATTAAAGGAAGAAAACTCGAATGAAAGAGAAAACTATAATGTAGTGTATCGTATTATTAATCCAGTAAAAGATTTGAAGTTTAATTCAAAAATAAAACTAGAAAGTTATAAAAAAATATGATAACTAGTAATTAAATATCAATTTGTAAATACAATTGTTTTAAACAGAAAAATATATCTATAATAAAACTAATTATTTAAAAAATTAATAATATTTTAATGAAAGATAATTACTTTAATCTTTCAATTATATTGTGTCAAATTAATTTTATAACAATAAATACAGTTTAAAAAGATATATATAAAAATAAACTGTATATAATAATAATATTTTTAATTTTTTCTTATTCTAAAATAATTTATAAAAAAATTAAAAATATCATTAAATATTGAAGAAATATATATAACACATGTTAAATATTTAATATAATTAAAATATCTATATGTTAAAACAATATATATATATATATGATTGTATAGAGAGAAAAAAATCTTTTAGTAATATTTTGTATATGATTATTTGAATATAATTGTTTCCTCTATAGAGCTGCACGCGATGGCGCCTTAGACATCTTAAAAGAAACAACAAAAAAGGATTGTAACGCACGGGATGACGGAGGAATGACCCCTACATTATGGGCAGCCTTTGAAGGTCATATAGATGCTCTGAGACTGCTCGTCGCCAGAGGGTATGCTCGCAAAACTATTTACTTATAAACATATTCTAGAAACATGTATAGATATAATAGAATTTTCTACAAAAATATCCTTTTTACGTATTATAATTAATAATTGTGAAAAAATTTTTATTATTGTATAAATTTTATTTATTAATATATATGTTTGCATAAACTTACCATATTATTTACAATAACTCATAAATAATAAAATTCTTGATTACAACAATGTAACTTATATAATTCCACAATGAGGTTATTATTTTTTGGCGCCACTATATAACTTTTCTTATTTGAGTGCTTTCCGCGGTTAAAACACTTACGCATGCGCAGAATTTATAATTTTAATAAGCTTATTCACAATATATTCTATAATATATTCTACTTTAAAATAATAAAAATATAAATTTTTTGAAATTTACTTCTGTATTAAAAAAATTATTTAATTAAAATTAAATATTTTGATATTTAATTATAATGAATTTAATCTTACCGTATCATATTGTGAATTTAAAAATTCTTTAAAATTTCTATGTTGAATTTTATAATATAATACTTAAATAAAAAGATTTTTTAAGAGAATTAGAATTTCATGCGAAAGTTAAAAAGTTTACACATATCTCTAGTTAACCTTGAAAGTCACATGTAAATTAAATACGAGGTCGTTGTGGTTAGTGAACACGAAAATTTTAACAATACTTCGTATGAATGACATTCACGAAACATTGAAAAAGTTACATTAATTAGTGTAACGTTGATTACTTTTAAAATATACCTAAGATTAGAACGTAGTTTCCTTTTTTTTTTAATTACGTATGCGTATTGTATATACGAGAATGTTCTATTAAAAGTTGACAGATGTGTGAAACCGGAAATATATGGTATAATCTGGCATCTATCGACCCTACAAACGGAAATTACGGCCAAGCGAGCACTGATGAAAAACAATCGAATACGAATGGAACAAAATGCAAAGGAACGGAATGAAATGAAACAAGGGAACGAGGAATTGTTATACCCATGTATATGCCTAACTGTAACTAATTATTTAAAATCATTTCTCAATTTTAAGGTTTTTTTAACAAAAATATTCACTTACCCATTTTAAAAATAAATTTTCGATAAAATTTTAGAAAAAACAAATACATTCACTTAGAAATAAAAGAAAAATAATCGATAATTTCGATCACTAACATGAACACAACCACTTTCCACCGTTATATTCGAAATACTACTGAAATGAATCCGAAAGTACTACTTTAGTCAAGATTAATATTTATAATTAGTTGCAAAAATATAATTTATAAAATATGAAAGAAATAAATGAAGATCACATTTTTAATATTAATCTTCAAGATAAAAATAAATATATGTGGAAAATATATTTTAAAATATAAATCATTAAAAAGTATTTAAATCATATGAATTATATATATATATATACTAAATTTAAATATTTTCAAATACGTTAAAAGAACAAAATTCAAAAATTTTAAATCTAATATAATATAAAATAATCATGTTTCGTATTGTATTTTATTATTGTAATTTACTATTATTTGTGTTATTATGTATGGATAGTAAACGGTTTAATGTAGTATATCGCATAATAGAATAATATATAACAATAAATACATTGAATGAAATACCAGTAAAATTTTACTACTATTTGTTTCAATTTTAAATATAATTTATGTCGAATCATAGAAATTTTATAACTTTAATAATATAAATTATAAAATTTTATAATTTTATATATTTAATATATTATTTCATAAAATCAGTAATGATTCGTGAATAACTGACATAAGATCTGAAAGATAGCACGTGCCTATTGTAAATAAGATCATATGTCGTTCGACTGGCTTCAGTGTGGTCGACGAACGATAGAAATTCGATATAAGACCTGCTATCCTTCCGGAACTTTGTTCCGTTTGTATGACTTCGCGTGACAGGATATGATGGTACAAAACTCATTTATTTCATTATTTTCACAGGACAAATTACTTATAATTAAAATAAAATAAATATTTTTGAAAATATTTATTTTCAAAAATAACAAACAATTACAAAAACAAAAAATAATTGTGTGTGTGTGTGCGTGCGTGCGTGCGTGTGTGTGTGTGTGTGCGTGCGTGCGTGCATATGGCGTGTATATACATATATATATACATCGTTAAAATTTAACAATAATTAAATACAAATATTGATTTTTCAAAGATATACTATAGTAAAATAATAAATTTTTTCAAAATTTTCGAAAGTAATACTAAGTATTACTATTCATTATAAAAAGAATCCATCCTATAATTTATTTTGCGTGAATATATGTATTAAATAGCAGATGTAGAATAATTTATGTTTTAACGATTTTTTTCGTAGGGGTGATCCCGACAAAACCGATTATTTTGGTAATACGGCCCTTCATCTGGCGGCAGCAAGGGGTCATGAATTTTGTGTCAAGTTTCTCGTGAAATTCGGTTGCAATATTTGGTCCTTAGACATCGATAGACATTCAGCTAGAGATTTAGCTGCTATAAATGGAAGAGAAATGACTCTTCAGTTTTTAGATCTTGCTCAAGCCGATCAAGAATTAAATAATCGCAAAAAAAAGTCGTCTACTTCGAGAAAAAGCAGAAAAAGATGCTGAAAAAAGGTATTTATGGAATCATTAAATATTAAAAATTTATATCAACATTAATGTGATTTAACATTAATACAATTTTAATTTCTATAATTATGCACAAAACAGATTAAAAGAATATATGAAAAAACAAAAAATGGCAGAAATTCGAGCTGAAAAGGAACAAAAAAAATTATCAAAAGATCGAACAAAATTGGATTTAACTACGGTTAACGAATTCGGTATTCTACCTCACAAACATACTGTGTTGACCTTCAAAGGTCGAGTAAAACCTTCACCAACGTTTAGCGATATCGTCGGCACTACCACAAAGAAACATGGTAGTGCAGTATGTAAAAAAGCTTTAGCGAAAAAAGCCGTTGATGATTTTAAAGTAATAGAGGTGACTGAATATTTCAATATATATTTTTTTTATAGATTTAATTATATATTATATAATTAAGAAATGATTTTTAATGTTATCAATTTTAAAATCAAATTTATTAAAGCTTTTCTAAATATGAAAGTTAATGTCAAATAAAAATTTAATCTATTTCAATTTTTTCTATATTAATTATATAAAACATATTTAATAAAAAAAATAAATTTTCATATTTCTAATTAAATTATATATTTTTAGATTGAAGTAAATGGAAAAAAATCGATACGTAGCCTCACTGGACTTAGAAGAGATTCTGAAATAATGTATGTAGGGACTTATGAAACTCAAACTCAACAAATAGGAAAGAGAGGAAAAATTTCAGATGTTTGGGGTACATTAAGCAAAGCACAAAGTACTCCTGATCTCTTAGGTGATCGATCCTTCGATGATGATATAGAACAAGATAGAGAAAATGTAAATGATATAAAAGATAATGTCTTGTTACAAGAACCAGCGAGTATTTTCAATCGACCTGGTTTTGGATCAGTAGCATTTCGAAGAGCGGTAAGTTTATAATATACTTATACGCATGTAATAAAATTAAATAAAAAAGATCTATTATTTTAAATAAATTTAATTTTTTTTTAGAAAACTAACGCAATATTTTGTAAAATATTCTATAATAATATAACGGGACATTTTAATTAAATCACATTATAATTTATAAATATATAAAACTTCAATTGCGAAATGATTTTTAATAAATATTTGGACTTAATAATAAATATTCACAGAATTATAAAATATATTTCAATTTTATTTTTTTGGTTATTTTTATAATGAATAGTTGTAAATTTATGTTATATATTATTACATACATTTACAATACATTTTAAATAGTACAAAATTAAGAAAAAAAAATATTATTAATATATTTCAAGAATTTATTATTATTACAATAGATATTTACTGAAATAATAGTTTATAAAAATTATTGAAATGTCTCAAATATAATGATTTAAAATTTATTTAAAGCAGTTTATAGAAGACTGCTGTTTTAACTTTAGATAACTACTACTTTCGATAACCTGCCATTCTCGCAAATGGATGCACATGAACAAAACGGTAACTCTTGCGTGAATGGTTCCGTAAATGGATCTATAAATGGTCATAGAATCAATGGGCACAACGAAGAAATCAGTATAGGAAGTGCAGGTAGTTTAGCTCGTCGGCAAAGTATGTGGGATGATGATTTACTTTCAGGTAAATTTATCTTGTATAAATCAAATTTTATAATTTTATCAATACATGGCATTTTTGTTTTAAATTTTTATTTTCAAATTTATATAAAAACAATTAAATTTATAGAGGAAGAAACTGATGAAGAATGGACACCATTGCAAAGATTTTTAGTTGCCAACAATTTATCATCTATTCATCCGGTTTTAGAATCAGAACAAATTGATTTAGAAGCCTTGATGTTACTAACTGAAACTGACATCGCCATGCTTAAACTTCCACTTGGACCTAAAAGAAAATTAATGAATGCTATAGCTAACAGAAAAAAGAGCATTAGATGCACCAGAAAATATTATTAAAGATAGCAGATTATAAAATTCAAAATAACGATAGAAGAACATTAATCTTATTTTCGAAT